GTCACATGCACCAAGAAGGCCACCTAGGTACCACCATTCTCGAAGCTATGTTAAGAGCTTGCTCTGTTCCTGTGCCTCCTCCTTTACTGATGGCCCCTTGTCACATCCTGAGATACTACTCTGTTCATCCCTCCCATCGAGTGGAAAATTCCTAAGAGCTCCTTATGGCTAATATGTCTTCACAGTATGTAGCTCACATGTTTTCATGGATTTAGTGAACAAAATGTGAGATGATATACAAGAATCATTGTTGTTGTTGTTGTTGTTAAGTGCTGTCAGTCAGTTCCTACCCATAATGACCCTGTATAGGGTTTCCGAGGATCAGCTGGTGAGCATGAGCCACCGACCTTGTGGTTCAAACCCACCTTGCAGTCCAGTTCATTAACCCACAGCACCACACCAGGACTCTATGTACAAGAGCCACAGAGATAAAAAAAAATACCTTAGGAGAAGAAGATTTCAACAAGGGAAAATCAAGTACGTCAACTGTTCCAAAGGTCAGGGAATAGGACAACTGACAAAAAGGACAATAAACTTAGAAATTAGGCTATCAACAATCTTTGGGAAGCGTGGTGAGTAAGGAACATTAAATGCTCAGGGCAATAAAAGATAAGGGGGTGCTCATTCTTCTCATGAAAGAGAAAATGAGATTCCCACCAGCTGAGTCTAGAGAGGGCTTAGGTCAGAAAGGAGTCATGGAGTGAACACTACAGGGGTAGGACAGTCACTGTGAGAATTTGACAGGGAGCCAAGTAGTAGGGTTTCTGAGCAGCGAGGGGGACGGACAGATACAAGGAAAGAATAGTGAAGTGCTAAACTGGAATGCTGACAATGACTTCCTCCTGGACAGGTCTGCAACCTAGAAGCAGGAGGCACTGTGTATCTAGCTGTAAAGAGTCCCTGCGTGGTGCAAACAGTTAACACACGAGGCTGTTAATTGAAACAGTGGAGGTTCAAGTCCACTGTGAGATGCCTTGAAAGACAGTCCTGGAGATCTACTTTCAAAATGTCAGCCATTGAAATACTAAGGAGCACAGTTCTACTCCAACACATGTTGTTGTTGTTGTTGTTGTTGTTAAGTGCCATCAAGTCAGTTCCGACCCATAGCGACCCTGTACAGGGTTTCCAAGGCTATAAATCTTACGGGAGCAGAAAGCCTCATCGTTCTGCCATGGAGTGGCTGGTAGTTTCAAACTGCTGACTTTAAGGTTTGCAGCCCACTACGCTACCAGAGCTCCTTCCAACACACATGGGGTTGCCATAAATTGGAATCAACTAGACACAAACAGGTTTTTCAAATGGTCACAATTTTGGAGGCCAAAATTCAGAGTGCCGTGGAATAAGAAAGCCAGAGGCTTAATGACAGACTTAGAATTAAATAACAGTAAATAGTACAAAGTGTTTTTAAAACATGAAATACATTACATAATGCCTAAATAAAAAATACAACTACATAACTGAGTAAGTAGCCTACATGCAAATCGCCCTTCTAGTCAGTGCTTCCTAGCTACACCTGAAATCATCTAGAATCTCACATACACAGCATACACACACACACAAAGAAAGGGGCAATACATCAGGGCAAAGCAGACAGAAGCAGCATTAATAAGAAAATGGCTTCAGTCAGTTTAGAAATGTGCACAACGAGTGCATGCATTCTATTGTCTCTATTGAGGTAAGAATCATCAAGAAAACAAATAGTTCTTTCTTACTGAAAGGTCTGGATTAAAGCTTTTGATGTTTGAACTAGAAGAAGGAAGGAAGAAATAGCAAGACTGAGTTTTTAAGACATGAACGAAGAATAGGAATTAAAATGCTCACCAAAGGTGGGTGCTGATATAAGTGTGATGCATCTAAAAGCAATGTATTCTTCAAAAGCATTTTTATTTCTAATAATGAAATGTCTTAAGCATATCCAAACGTAAGTACAGAAACCAACTGGTCACACCAATGCACCAGCTCATCCAACGTTAATATTTCAGGCATATGTGATGTAGAGAGATCCTGGGGTGGCACTGTAGCATAAGCCCTAGGCTGCAAATTGTAAGGTCAAGCAATTCAAACCCACCAGACACTCCTTGGAAATCCTATAAAGGGCCACTATGAGTCAAAACTGAACAGA